TATTTATATATATATATATATATATAAAGTGCAATCACTGGGACCAGAAAAGGACAAAACGAGAACAGATTCTGGAACTGTCGAGTAAATTCTGTATTTACTCATTCGTGCAGAAAGCTCTCAACTTTAAAACTCTGGTGAGATATAAATAAAGGCTTTTTGAAAAAGACACATCTAACTCTGTAAAGAGACTGGTCAAAGTGTCGTCATCATTGTCAGCAACAGATAGAAAGGGAGTGATGTAGTAATCCCGATAGGGTTGGTAAATCGGACATTTCAGGATTATATGTTTTATATTTTCAGGCTCATTTAGGTTACATATGGTACAAATTTGGTTTGGATAAAAGAAGCAGCGAAATCGATTGTAGCCAAGCTTGAAACAGTGACCATTAGCCAATCGGACCCGAGCAATTGTTCCCGAGACATAGAGAGGACAATTACGCAGGTAGCTTGCTGTGTCGGAGTCCAGCAACCGTGGTATGCGCATCTGGCAAGATCTGCTGGAGCTAGATCCAACCAGATCCAGGCTCGTAAGGTGGTCAGAGTAGGATCTGAGGGTGCTCTCAATGTGCCCACCCCAGAAAGAGCTGGAGAGATTATCCCAGAGAGCCACAGGCGCATTAAAACTAGTCAGAATTACTTTAAGTTGTAGCACCCAGTTATATTTTGGGTCAATGTCCTTGAGCTTAGTCACCTTGAACAACTGTAACATACAGATCCTGGGTAGTCCATTGCTGGGCATGTCCAATACTTTACAGATCCAACACAGGGCCATCCTAAGAACCTAAACCTTTACATTCTTTATCCTCAGCTCCAGCCTAAGATCTGCATTTGGGGTACCAGTCGGGAGAAGAAGAAGACGCTTAAAGAACGAAAGCTGAGTTTTCTCGAGTTGATCAAGATAACGTAAACCCCAAAGGTGTGAGGCGTATAAGAGGGTGCTGGCCACTATACTGTCAAAGATTTTAATCATACTGTCCCATGAGTCTGTTTTGATGGCAGCAAGCGTGGAGATTGCTGCTCCAGCTGCAGTTTTAGCCCTCTGAGAAGCATTTTTTGAGGCCAGCAAGCCCAGAGATGAAGTAGCAAATGGTACACCCAAGTACGTGTACTGATCAATCTATTCGACTAATTTACCATTAAAGTGCAGCTTCGTCTTCTCCCCTGGACCTCCTCTTCTAAAGTTCATTGCCTTAGTTTTTTGTATATTTACTGTTAGCGCATTTATCCTACAGTATTCTTCCAAAATGACTAGTTTCTTACGCAGCTCAGGCACTGATGAGGCTAAAATTACTAAGTCGTCAGCATAAAGGAGCATTAATAGATCATGAAAGCCATCGACCCTGGGCCCCACGACTCTCCTTGCTCTAAAGAAGTCAACTATATCATGCAAATACAAAATAAAAAGGGTCGGACTGAGGATTTCTCCCTGTAGGACCCCTTCAGTAAAATTCATTCAGTTAAATTCATCAGAAAATTGTTGTCCTGATTTGACTTGAAATCTTGCTTGCCTGTATAGACTTCTCAAAATTCTAATGAGCTTAGGACTAACTCCCAAGTTGAACAACTTCTTCCAAAGGAGGTCGTGTGGCACCGAGTCGAAATTCCTCCTGAAATCAACGAAAAGCCCGTGCAGCTTGCTTCCTCTGTTGCACAAATTGAGTTGCAAGGTCGCGAGCAAAGTGAAAATATTATCAACACAACTTCTTTTTGCAATGAATCCAGCCTGTTCCTCAGGTATTACCTTAGTTTCATTAATCCAGCGTGTTAATCTGTTTTTAAGAATAGACGTGAAAATTTTAGTAATTACATTTATCAGCGCCAGCCCTGTAATTGGAGGGATCTGCCTTGTCAATCTTTTTGTGCAACATGAAAAGAGCCACACGAGACCAGTCATCAGGTACAGCCTCAGTATCTAGTACTTTATTGAAAAATGCCTGCAAGAATAAAAGCCAGTTGTTAGGTAACGTTTTATAAAACTCACTAGAGATTGCATCACGGCCAGGAGCCTTACCATTTTTCAGATCATTAATACTATGGGATAATTCATCCAAGGTTATGTAGCTATCAAGCCTGGGATCGAGAACACTGAAGTATTGTGTGTTATTTATGATTCTAGGAGGATAGATACGCTCGTAAAAGTTGTTCCAGGCTTCCAGAGACACAGCCGGGATGCGAGTGTTTTTTCCCTTAAATCTATTATATATGCGCCAGAACCGAGATGTATCTTTGACTTTCGCGAAAGTGTCTGCAACCAATGTTCTGTTATCCTTTTCTTTAGAGCTCAGGGTGTTTTTATAACGCTTTTTAATATCTAGGTACCGGGAGAGTTCGGGGAGATTGAATTTGGCCCTTCTAGCGTTTTTCAACGTATTGCTAAGTTCACGTTTCAAATCTTTGCATTCAGCATCGAACCAGGGTTTGTGCGATGTACTTGAGGTGTGACTTGGTCTACGGGTCTTAAGCATACCAGCGGCCGATGCATTCTCAACTATCGCTGAGGCTATGTTATAATTTAGGGATTCAGTAGAAGATCGCTCGAAGTCAATTTTCAGTTTATAAGATAAGAGCATATTATAAGTGTAGACATGTTGTTTAGTCGGGTCCCAAGAAAGATATTCCGAGAGCGGCGCGGAAACGGGCGGATTGTCATTAGGGAAGGGGAAAGAGAGTGATAAGGAGACAGGGAAGTGGTCAGATAGCGTGGGTTCTGGTAGAACTGCTAATCGCGAGATGTAATCAATGGCCAAAAAGTTTGACCAAACTAGGTCTATTACAGATTTGCCTCTTGCGGAACAAAAGGTAAACTGTGCCGGTATGTCGCCAGCTGTTCTGCCATTAAGAAGCATAAATCCATTCGTTTGGAAAAAGTCGAGAAGCAACGAACCCCTGGAGTTAAGTTCACGGTCGAGGGACATGCGAAGAGATGTTAAAACAGTACCAGAGAGGGCATCTTCCTGAATAAGGTCACCATCCCCAACACGCGCGTTAAAATCCCCACCTATAAAAAATGCTGCTGCCGGGTACTTAGACTGGATGTCAGAGATGACATCCTGCAGCAAGTCTAGATAAGGGGGTAGATCGCTGTTGGGTTTAAAGTAAATAGAGCCAAGGATTACAGTCCAATTGGGAGCAGAAAATTTGGCGAACAGCCACCAAGGTGATGAGTCCAAAACCTCACAGTTGAGGGTACTTTTATAGCCAATAAAAAGACCACCACTTGCACGTCCCGTACTGTGCGTCCTGAGAGCCTGTGAACAAATATACTTATAGTTTTTGTAAGAACTAGATAGATTAGCAGAATTATCCATTAGCCATATTTCAGTTAAACAGAATATGTCAGATTTACCAATTGAGGAGTTACTACTGAGTCTTTTAAAACCGCAACAGTTCCAGAAGTCTATTCTCAAGTCTCGTTAATTTAATATGAGGGATGACTCAGCCGCTGGACTCGTGGACGATTCGCCTGAAGCCAAACCGTTGAGCGTGGAGATGGAATTCGGTGAAGAGTCGCACTGAAGTTGGTCGAGGTTTACTTCCCAATGGTGCCAGGTACCATTGATCTGAAGGTGCTTGTTCCCTATTTTAACCCGGTGGCCAGCTTCTCTAAGTTTTCTGGCTTTTTGCCTGATTAGAGCATTGGTACTACGTTCATCCGGTGTTAAGTCGTGTTCAATATAAACCTTCCTGGTCCCTAAGGTTTTCTTTTTGCTCATAATCAGGTTTTTGTTGGCGTGAGTGTTAATTTTGGCCCTGACTATATTGTGCGGGCTGCCAAAGAGGTTGACTTGCTCTACACAATTGGAGACGCCAAAGGAGTCCTTTAAGAATTTTTCCACAAGATATTTAGTGTTGTGTCTGTCAGTATTATTGAATTTCAGGCCTTTGATAATAATGTTAGCCTGACGGAGATGTTTATCCATGACAGCAAATTTGTCATTCATCTTGGCCATGTACTAGGCGAATTCTCGGTTAAGAGGAGCAGTAGGAGGCATGGAAGTATTAGTTGATGACAATGAGTCAGTGTTTACAGCTACCGGGGCTTCTAGCTTTGCCAAACGGAGTTGGAGTTCATCAATTTTACGGTTAACGGCAGCATCATTCACTGAAATGTTGTCTTCAAGCCACTTGAATCTGGTGGCATTAGATTCCTTGAGTGTGGAAATCTCATCTCTAAGGTCGTCAATAAAAGCAAGTTTGTCTATGATTACTTTCTCAATATTCCCAGCCAATGCACTCACTATACCTTCTTGCAATAGAGTTAGCGTGGCAGGATCTAGCGTCAATCGTTTTTTTGCTGGTGTTAAGTCGACGTCATAATCGGTATCTGCGATTTCCTGGTCACGCTTTCTTTTTAATAGACCAAGTGGATTGCCCAGCACCTCCAGGTTGAGCTTGTCCCCGTTGTCAGCAAGTCTGCGTCGTCCTTTATGAGATGGATTCGGAGGTACGTGGCTCCCTCCATCGGACAGCGGTGTGGGCTGATGGGGAACTGTGTTGGTAAGCTGGTCAACTGCGGAATTCATTGTGCGAAGAGTGAGAGCGATAGTCACAAAAGAGAGAGACAGAGACAGTCACTTAGAGGTTAGGATGAGTAGCGTATAATGCAAATACACAAAGATATATAAAAAACCTCTAGGCATACACTTGAGATCAGACTTGTTCTAGTTAAAGAAATTTTTGTAGTAAACACTAGTACAAAAACAACACCAAACTGTAGCCTATGACCGATAAAAATCACAAAACACTGGACCAGAAAAAAAAAAACACTGTCAACTGCTAGGCGGCCCAGCTACTCCTTATATATATATATATATATATATATATATATATATTACAAGCAAGTATCATAACCTTATGTTTATGTACTTTATAAAATTATAAAAATGATTTATCAAACATATATTGATAGAGATATGAATTTGTTCGAATGTTCATTTACATATATCAATTTATTTAATTGTACCATCTTTCATTCTATTACTAATAATTAAAAAAAGATTTTTAGAATGACTTCTGAATTGTTTGCAATAGTAAAATGGCTAAATGACGAAGACAAGGGAACATACACTGTTGGTGTACCAACACAATGGATAATACAATTCGATTATCAAGAATATTGCATGAATAGCTGTGATGCTGATGAAAGTTATGTAGTCGAGTGGCGTCAAGGCAAGAAGCCAGCTGGTGGATGGTTGTGCTATGATGCCGTGGTCACAGATGTTTCTAGTATGTATTATTTAAAAAATAAACAAATATTTATAGTTATTAAATGTAGAGACTACTTGAAACAAATTCTCTGATTTCTAAACTTTTCTGGATTCTTATAGAGTAAATACTAAACTTAATTATAGTTAAATTTTCTATAAAAACTTACTGAAACAAAAGAGTTTTTACGGACTTCATTAAAACCATTCGATTTCCTATTATCATAAAATTTTTATTACATTAAATCTTAGTAAAAAAATTACATACGTTTGCAAAAATTATTTAGTCTTAAAACTAAATTTAACATAAAGTAGTATTGAAAATTAGATTACCGGGATCTGTTATAGCAACATTGGATTGTAACTAACTATTCAATATTTTTAAAACTACTTAATATGTTTTACATGAAATTTTTATATCAAATCTTTCGATATACTCGGTTGTCTTAATTTGTTGTTACGCAGCCTTGATTGAACAAAACCATATGACATGATTCGAAATAATTTATTTTTTAATCATTTTTAATCCTGTCGAATTATGTGAATCATTTTAAATCATTCTCTAATAGACATTTACCATAAGAAATTATTTTTAATCATTTTGTTTAATCAGAAAGATATCATAATTTACTATTCATAAAAAGTATGAATTTTATAATTATAACTTCTTATAGAAAGTATAGCTGCGCTCGAAAAAAAATTTAAGAATAATTATAAATGCATAAAATCACCAAGATTGGGAGGCTGCTCAGGAAATCAAAAGTCGTTCATGGATGGATCAGCAGCAGGTTCTACTTCCAACTTTACAAATGCAACGAGTATCACAACTGATAAAAATGCTAACAAAAAAACAAGCTTAAAAAGACCGCATTCTAATAAGGATGATGATAATGATATTGAACGAACCCCTTTGAATAACTCATCACCAGTAAGACCTAGAAATTTATTCGGATCAAATAATGGTAAATTAAATATTTTTAATTTTTATTATATTTTTTGTCAAATTCTTCAGAGCGAAGATGAGATACATTTTATATTACGTTTTATTTATGTTGTAGGTGAGAATGACATTGTTATTCAACTATTAACCGAGATGAGAAACATGCAAGAGAACATGAGGAACATTAGGCCGATACCAAGAGCTGCTGAAATAAGCGAACTTCTCACAAGTAAAGTCGATTATCTAGAAAAAGAATGTAAAAACACAAAAATTACGATCGCCGGACTCGATTTCTCCACCAATGACCATATAACTAAGGTTAAACATTTCCTCTCTTCGAAATTTGGCATTGATTGCTCCAATGTTACAGTCAAAGAACTCCGCAAATACATTGTTATAGATGTACACGATCCCACTTTGAAATCTACAATTCTGAAAAACAAAAAAACTAAACTTCTCGGCACAAAAATTTATATCGACCCCGATCGTACCACCAGAGAAAAGTATATCGCCTGGCAAACTAGACAATTCATCAAAGAAAAGGTCTCGGAAGGGAAAAGAGCTACCAGGAAAGGCTCTAGGGTCATAGTAGATGAAATTAGCGATGTTTGGAGTGACTCAAAAAACACTCTAGTTCCCCAAAATAATTCCTTGTCGAAAAGCTCGCGAATACCTATAGAAGTACAAGCAACTCACACAAAAAACTAACTGGAAACTCCGCAAAAATAACAAAAATAACCTTTTGGAACCTACATGGCTTCTCAAACCTCGAACCAAGCTCAATAACCAGAGACTCCGACATCATAGCAACCTGCGAAACCTGGACCACGCAACCTCTTAACCCACGATTTCTAGAGAACTTCAATACTTACTGGTCCAATGCACTCAGAGAACATGCGGTCGGACGTGCCAGCGGAGGACTGGTCTCGGCTATTAATCGCAGATACAAATCTTCATTACTAGAACTCACACCTTGGAGGATCTTCAACGAAGTGTGCATCGGAAATACTACTCTAATTCTCGGGTCTGAATACTTTCGTAAATGCCTTGATCTACGATACTTACTTAATATGTTGCAGGAAACAATCGACGATGTCAAAGCCTCGCACCTTTACGATCTATTCATTATAGGAGGAGATATGAATGCAAGAATTGGTCTACAAAACCCATGGCCAACCGAACTATTCTCTGGGCTCCACGTACATGACCCTATGACAACCTCGGACAGCTTTTCCTGCGAAAGAGGTCACCAAATCGTGGAGTTTATGTTCGACAACGATTTTATACTACTCAACGGCCGAACAAATAGTGACTCTCCAGCGCAGCCAACCTATGACGGTCTAGGTACATCAATTATCGACCTGGTCTGGGTAGATACTCCCGCACTCCACCTTATCCAAGACCTAGAAGTCATCCTAGAACCGTCCCTCTCAGACCATCGACCTATCTGTATAACCGTTCTGACCCACGGAGCATTGACACATGATGTTAATGTAACAGTAACACCAAAGACAACAACTAGAATTAAATGGTCGGAGGAGCTAAAAGAAGAATACCAGATGCAACTTTCCACTATTCAAGCACCTAACAATTCTGCTACAACACTTTTTTAAAATAAACTGGAAATTTCCCTGACCCAAGTTAAAACTCCCTGACTTTTCACTGACTATTCCAGAAATTTCAAATTTCCTGACATATCCAGGTTTTCCAGGTCAATCGCCACCCTGCTGTTGGGACGCAATTTTGACCTTTATTCGCTGTGAAAATGATAAAATAATCTGTCAGATGGCATTAAAATACACAATGGTGTAGAATAGGACTACGACCATCAGTACCAACGTCTGGTAAATTTTGTTGAATATACTTTCGGTATATAAAGGCCATAATTGTTTACTGGTGATTAAGGATAGTTTCATCGTTGCGGTTTGCATTTGTCTCTTAAAAGAAGTAAAACAGTTGCTTTCTACCTCGTTTGACGATAAAAACCTAAAATGAAAATTAATTTTGACGTTGAATCTCATCTCCACTCTTTTAAATTTTCTAAAAAACATCTTTCAAGATACAAACATAAAACGGGATATAAATTTAATCAAGGTTCCTCAACAACAATTGAAAATTGTCACATACAAAGATTAGAAGGTGATCTAAACCTACAAGAACAATTTGACTATTATTTTTGTCTATTCAAATGCGAATTTTTAACAAAAAAAACTACAATCTAAAACGAAGTAAGTGATAGAATATTTTTTAAAAATGCTAATTATGTTTTTTTAAACTCTTTTTTAAACTCGGAAAGTTATTGGTTTTACCCCGTTTTTCGAAAATCAAGTTTTCATCAGATCTCGACGTTTAGAGGTCTTAGGAAGCTTCGCTGAATATTTTTGCGATGACGTCCATATGTCTGTGTGTGTGCGTGTGTGCGCGCGCGCGCGTGTGTGTGTGTGTATTTTTTTTTATAGAGAAGTGAAAAAAATCTTCTAAAGACACCGCTATCATTGAAAGATGATGGTCGGGAATGTGAGATTTTTACCCACTAAAAAACTCTCTCTTCCACCATGGATGGTACGGAGATGACTGAATCGGAACCGCGTAAGCATTACTTCAATCCAGTCCATGTTGTGTCTCACGACAGCTACTCCTAGTTACTAGTCCTTTTCTGCGGTTTTTGCTTTTAGAAGGCGCTGCGCGTAGGATGCAGCAGCTGACCAATTATTTTCTTTCCTGAGCATGCAGGCTTTCAAGCTCTCGGGGGAGAGCGTGATGCCAATAGTTTCTTCGGTGCTGTTTCTGTAGTCCTTCCACCGATCACACTCGAAGAACGTGTGCTTGGCGTTGTCAATTTTGTCTGGGCAGTATTTGCACGTTGGTGTGCTGCGCAGACCCATCTTGAATAGATAGGCATTGAACTGTCCCGTCAATAGCTCGGTTAGGAAGAAGTCTGTTTCTCTGCGCTTCCAAGAAAGTCAGGCGTTTATGTTCGGAGTGAGGCGTGCTGTCAATCTGCTTGTTTCCCCGGTTGTCCATCGGTCCTGCCACTCATGTAGTGTTTCCGTCTTTATTGTTGCTCTTGTCTTCTTAGAGTTGTCACCATTTATTTTGGCCTCGTAGATTTTCACTTTTACAAATTTTCACAAATTTGACTTGATTTTTCTCTTAAAATGCGGTCTTGTTTTTTGTCTTCATATGAATGACCTATTGGAATTTTCGCTCTACTGCAGTGATGCAGTAACAATTTTATTGCGGATAAAATTATTTTCTATTAATACCGCGATGGATTTTTAATTACTCACGTCAGTGGCGAACAATAAAATTGCTCTTAATAAAAAAGAAAAATATTTTCGATGGCAAAAGTTTTATTAACTGTAAAATTTTGCTCTACTGCAGTTATGCTGTATCTCTGTTATGGCCAAAAAAATCAGTTTCTAACGATATTTGGTTGGAACTACACTATTTTAGTAATGACGGCTTAATTTACTAGTGATTCACATTAGATAAGGAAGTTATATATTCAAATTTCCATTAATATTTATTTTTCATCATTACTGCAACTATGCAGTAAGAATTCTTTAATTAAAATATTTGTTTCCTATTAATACTTATTGGAAATCTTTGATATTTAAATCGTAGCAAACTGATTAAATCGCTTTTTATAATGAAAGAAATAAATTTAACAGCAGAATGTCCTCACTACCAAAATTTTGCTCTACTGCCGTTGTGCAGTATCTCTTTTATGGTCAAAAAAATCGGTTCCTAATGATATTTGGTTATAACTACACTATTTTAGTAATGACGGTTTAATTTACTAGCAATTCACATTAGATAAGGAAGTTATATGTTCAAATTTCTATTAATATTTATTTTTTATCTCTACTGCACTATGCAGTATGCATTTTTTAATTGAAATATTTGTTTCCTATCGATACTTACCGGAAATCTTTGATATTTAAATCATAGCAAACTAAATAAATCGCCTATCATAACTAAAGGAATAAATTTAACAACAAAATTTTCTTAATTTCAAATTTTTGCTGTACTGCAGTGATGCAGTAAAAATTTGATAGTGGAAGAAATCATTATTTGAGCAATTTGAAGTTCCTGCGTGAAATATTCTCTTATTTTTTGTGTTACTTGATTGAGAGAGTAAATCATAGTGGGGATTTTCGATTCAATTCAAATAAAATAATTTTTGTTTTACACTATAAGGACCTCTTCGGAAATAGTAGACTCTATTCAAGAAATCATTCAACTTTATAGAGGAAAAATGATTCATGTACCAATTATTAACGTTACTGCATTGAAGTAGTAAGGGAAACGTATTCATAACATTTACGACTTTATTGCAGTAAGATAAATACAGGATTTTTGATTCACAGAGTATGGTGGAATTTTATATAAACAATTGAATATTAATCAAAAAAACAATCTGTTTTGTTAGCATTACTGCTTTGAGGCTGTAAAGCGTTCAGTGCATTTTCAATTTCAAATAGATTCCCTGATAAAAAAATTAAATTGAATCAAGAGCCAAAATTTTGAACCAAGAATACCATTTTAAAGAAAATGATTTTCTTAAGTCAAGAGAATAAATTTTTGGAACAAGAAAATTTTCTTAGACCAAAAATAATTCTTTAACTCAAGAATTTATTCTCTTGACTCACGTGAGTGTAGGAAAAAAAATTTTTTTTTTTCAAATTCTATATTTTTAAAAAATACTTAAAGCCCTTTAGAAAATTTACTAAACGTTTGATAAGAAAAAGAAACATTAAAAACATTACATAAACAAATTATGCTTTACTGCAATGGGACCGTAAAAAACAAAAGAATAAAATTTTTTTTTTATTAGCACCATCTCGATGCTTTCAAACTACAAACTGAATATAGTTTATTACCGAGGTTAGCCGATCACACGGATTCATTTCGTTTGTTTTTTTATACATGTGTAAGTTTTCCCCTTCCATACCAAAGTTCTGGCTCTAATAATAATTATATATCGTTATATTTAGCCATTTTTCATATATAATCATATATAACTAATTTATAAATAATTATATTCAAACATTGTTTCTCGGCTTATGTCGTTGTTGACTGATAATTTGGTTTTTCAGTGTCTACACCGCCTACAACAAGCCCAAATCCTACTACCATTGAATTACCGAAAAAATGTAAGTAGTTTGCATTTTATCATTTTGTTGAAAATGCGATACTTTCATTTGTTACTGATTGTATTTTAATGTTTTTTCAAGATTTGAATGCTTTACCAGAATTAAATAATTCCATCGATGAAAATCCAAGCTCACTCATTTTTTCTGATGAAAAGG